AAAAACAAAACAATGGTTGGAACATAAAATGCAGCCTGAAAGAAAACTAATACAAAGGTGCATATATATCACAGAGTCCCACTGCAAGTGCTATGTGGGGGACACACAATTAGGCTCCAAGCTTTCTAGTAGCCTGATCAGTTTCACAGGGTTCATAAAATTGTCAAACCACTGTTCAGGAGGTCCTTTTCCTGGTTTAATCCCAAATACCTTTCTATAGTGAAGAGTCATAAAATGGTGGCAAATTGTCCCTCCTAATTTCTTCTATGACCAGGATCCAGTTCCTGAAAGTTTCCAACAAAGACAGAGCTTTGATCTTGAAATCACAACCATCATGCCTTATTTTTCCTCTCCCTGTCTCTTGAAGTTCCACTTGGCCAATGAAATCCTGCTTAGGAGATTCCTTTTAAAACATTTATGTCATAAAACAGGACACTATGACATTGTTTGCAATAACAAAAATTGGGAAAGATTCCAAATATCCAACAAAAGGAAAACGGTCAAAGAAATCATAAAACCACTGTCTGGTGAAATATTATACATCAACTAAAACGGTATTTATGAAGAGGTTGGTAAAGAGTAAGAAATATTTTGATATTAAGTACAAAGGAGAATGAAAACTGTAAAACCTGTTAAAAGGTCGATGTGACTATATAACCATAGAGAAAAAGTCTGGCGAGATATCTACCAAAATGTTACTGTTGTTTGTTTCTGAGATTTGTTCATTTCCAAAATCTTGACATTAATTAAATTTCTATCAGATGAGAGAGACAATAAGAGACTGAGACAAATATACCAATCTGGTGATTTTTGAGTTGTGTAATTTTTCATTTTGTAAAAGAAAATTTGATAATGAGCATTTAAGCTCGAGCTAAGGAGAACGTTACTTTATCAAAGAAAGTATAATTCTAACTATTCATTTTAGAGGTTGTTTGTTGATTATTTCTAACGTCTAGTGTTATACCTCCCAGTTAAGTAACACATACATTTTTATATTTTGGTAGCACTTTGATGTTTAGAATTACATTTGATCATCAAAAATAGCCTGGTGAGGTAGGCCATGTAGGACTATTCTCATTTAACAGTTGAGTAAATTAAAGCACTGAGGGAGGCTAAGTGACTGGCCCAGCTGCAATGATCAGAGACAGAGATAGGACTTGAACCCAAGTCTCAAAAGGCAAGTCCAGTGCTCTTGTTATTCGTTCAAGACAGCCACCTAAGGCAGGAACAGAGAAACAGTAATCCCTCCTCATCTATGAAGGTTGGGTTCATGAAAACCCTCCAAAGTAGAATTCAGCTGAGGAAATGATCATTTTATGAGGAACAACAACAACAAAAACCACAGGCAGTGTATTTTGAAAGCACTTATAAATCGTTTTTTATGCTCAGTAAGTAAAACAATATCAACAGTGTATTACATAAAAAGAATGAGTTTACATAGCTTAAACTAGTAAGAATGATAGGCTCTATGCAGCTTCCTGAGATGATTTCCAGCACTAGTGAGGGTGTACCAAGCATTATGAAAGTAGAACATTGGTGTGACAGAGGAGCAACGACATAGCTGGCCTGTAAATTCAAAGCACGGACCTCTATATTCCCAGAGTCATCCAAGACCAATCTTAAAATGGTAGCAACTTGCTTGTGGCTTTAGCGCTAACAAGCAAGTCAATTTAAGGGCACTACTTAATGACTTTGACAATTCTGAAAATACTTTGTCTTCTAATGACTTTTAGCATCTCTGTATTCAGTGAATTAAATCATTCAAGTTTTGTCTGAAGGCCACTGATTTAGTTGTCCAGCAATGGTATTAAATGGCACTGCTTGATTCAAGTTCTACTGCAGATATTTTCTGTGCTATGCAACTTTTTTTTCTCTTTGAAGGCATCATAATATCTCTTTACTGAGTTCTACCAAATCATTCAAGGTTTGAACAGATAAGATCCTATGTGTAAAGGTTTGAATTTCCCTGACTTTCATGGGGAAGCGTAGATCTTGTTCTAGAATTTTGCTACTGGTGCTTCTGATTGGATTTGTCGCAAGTCCTAGAGCCTACTAATCATCGTCATTATCACTGTGGAAGTTACATAACTTCCTGTCAACTTGAAGATATAGAAAAGCGTAGGGGTGGTATTCAACCTGTCAATGAGGTCAAAGCCTGACGGTGTCTCTTTGTGGGCATGGTCTTCTCATAAGGAGGACCCTAGGCACCTCCCCACCCCTCTCCCTCTCTACCTTCACCTTCCTGCTGGCTGACCCTGATTGCTTCTAGAGCCCTGGAGATGTGTTCACCGCTATTGGATCCATAAGACTTTGTATCCACTGGTCTGTGATACTCCTACATTCTGCATCATTGCATGTGGCTGTGTGAGTCTGAAGATGGACATACAGACAAGTATCAGACTTATGGACTTGAGTTGGACTGACTGGGATGTTTTCTCGCTATATAATGTCTTGATATAAAACTCTTTCCTATACGTATATGAGTGTCTCTGAATTCATTTCTCTAGTCAACCCAGCCTAACACAGTCACTTGTGATGATCACTTCTGGAGTACTGGAAAATTCCTGAGGCTCATCCTGTATCAGTATCAAATTATCATTAGAATTGGTGTTAGTAAGTTCAGATTCAACTTCGGCCCACGACTGTTCCTTTGTCAAATGTGCAACCTCCTCCTAAGGCTCTTCTGATCCAGAGTCTTTGTCTTCCACAGGGCTTGCTGAACGATGTTGTGCCATATCTAGCCAAATCTTCTCCCGGGCTTTTTATTAAGGGTTAAAAAAAACCCAGACTAAATTCACTGCCATTAAGTCAATGCTGACACGCAGTGATTCCCCCTCCCGCCATGCCCACCCCCGTGGATTTCCAAGATTATAACTGTTTACGGGAGTAGAAAGCCCAGTCTTCCTCCTGAGGAGCTGCTGGTGGTTTCAAACTGTCAACCCATGTGGATCGCAGCCCAACACACAACCACTACACTACAATACCATCGTTAAGGACAGGTTTTGCTAAACCACCTATTGCCTCTCCTCTGAAGAGCACAGCACTTGTGATGGCATAGGCATCCCGTGCATTAGGAGCTTCAGACAGAGGTATTTTGGCCAGAATTTGTACAACAGAGCTATATACCATATATACTCGAGTATAAGCTGAGTTTTTTAGCACATTTTAAACGCAGTTTTGGGGTAAAATTAGGTGCCTCAACAGATATTCGGTTCAGCTTATACTCGAGTATATGTTGTACTAGTTTAGAGTAAATTTTTGAATAGCTGTATCACACATTGATCTAAGGGCTGAAGGATCTGAGACATGTAGTTGGTTATAAAAATAACTTTAGCATTGGGATACACATAGGCCAATGCATCTGAGGTGACAACAGGATTGTAAAGAATCAATGGGACTTTGAATTCAAGGGCGTTTGCTTTCAAGTAGTCTTGAAGTTCTACCAGAAATCACTGTTTAAACCATTCCTTCAGGAGCGGAGCTCTCGCCCAGGCTTTTCTGTTTTCATACCAGTAAGCTTGGCTTTGATTTTGACCTTGAGAAGACTTGCGTAAAGGTTTTTGTAGAACAGCAATGGTTTCACTATGACGTCACCTCAAGTGTTGGCCCAACACAGAGGTTGTCAGTTTGTTTTTGCTGACCTCATGCCACCATCAGTTGGCTCTTGCTCATCAAAATGGCAAAGTGGGCTTATTGAAAGGCTTCCAAAGTGGTCAGTCTCAACAATATCACAGATTTGTTCCATTTGTAATCCCCCTCATCAATCACGTGCTACAGTGTCGGAGGACCCAACACAGGAGCCTAAGAATCTACTGGTTCTTTCTTCAGCACCAATGTCATAAGAGACTTGGTCTTCGGGTGATAGTGATACTTAAAATTTCTCACACTACCCCATGATTCCAGGCAAAATTTGCCTTCTGAAATATCTTCAGCGTATGGCCAGTGTTTCATACTTTCTTTGCTTATCTTCCAACAATAGGTCTGACATCTTTGTTCTCCATCTTTGAGGTAAGAGGGATAAAGCCACTTGGGAGTGATGAAGGGTCTACAAGAGGCAATACCGGCCCTAACAGCATTTTCTGCTTTTTTTCTTGTATGAACTGTGAATTCACTTAACACCGTATCTCAGGGAGCTTTGAGTTTTACCTTGAAGAAGTAGCTCGAGATCAAGCATGTCCCTTTGGTCTTCTCAAGCCATCCTCCTTCTTGCACTTTTGGCAACATCCTGTGGTGCCAGTACCCTGGGCTCTGCGTTCCTCAGAGCCACAGTACAGTTCATCCTATGGATCGCGGTCTGGTTGCAGCTTCCTATGCTAATTAATGCAGCTTGACAATTGACTTATCAGACCCTGTGCATCGCTGAGGATCACCGGGTGTCAGTATATGAAAGTCAAACATCAAATGGTAGGTGCCATGAACAACACACAGAAGCAAATGACAATATATTGTCGTGATACTCAGTGCAAATGGGGTTGAATGTGGAGGGGACAACTGGCAGAAGACAAGAACAAACAAATGACTCTGAACTGTCTTGCTACCTTGGGATATAGTAAGAGAGACAATATGGTGGCCACTCAGAGTGGCTCCCATTGACCCATACCAAAATTGCCACAGTTGTGGAAAAGGGATATAGACATAAGTTTAACCTCAAAGTTCTAAGAAGGACAACTTACAGTTAGGAACAGATGACTGTGCTATAAATTTTCATCAAAGTGATCTGAAAGTAAGTCACTGTGGATTTAGTCAAGGGAATATTTCGGCTATGGTTTCTGTAAGCTGAACACTGTACATACGGTTACACGTGAAAGGCAAACACAGCATTATTTTCTGTACGCTCACAGAAAGTCATCCTCTAACAAAAGGCACCCACTGAAGATGTAAATGGTAAAGGTCACGCTGGTGCTGACTAGCCACTGCTCAAGAAATGACTACCCAGGAAAGAAAGTGACAATGAGAGACTAAACTAGCCCCTTTTCAATGTCCGGCCACTGATACTTTACTTTTATCCCCTCCTCCTGGGAAGATAGAGCGCAGCCGGGCTTTCTTATTCTTCTCCTCAGGTGCCATGGGCAGAGGTTTGGAGCTGTGGTTGAGCGCTGATGAATCTCGGTTGTTACTATTCATCCTGAGTGGGGGAGCTGGGGGTTTCTCTTCATTCTCCAGACTGTCAGACATTTTCAGTTACGACACGCACGGCCCCTAAAGTAGAGGAGGAGAAAACAGATGTTAAGAAAGGAGAATACTTTTTTTTTAATCACAGAAATATGGGGATTCTGGCATCTTAGAAACCAAAGCATTTGTCTCTCCTTGTCCCCAGTTTTGTCCAGATACCTCTGAGGTGTCACATTCCTGGATGGCCTGGAGTTGCCTCCCGAACATCAAGGAGGCCATTTGCCAAAGATGACAATGCATGGATTTCTGACCTGTACGCCAAAACATCTGGCTTTTTCCATGGTGAAATTCTTGATTCTCTGCTGGCCACTCAGGTTTTCGATGAACAATTTGCCACCTCTCTTCTTTAACATAAGCAGGTAGAACTACGGGAGGTTGAAATTAACAGCGATTTGGTGGTCAATGTGCAAAGGCCCACAACAATGATTTGTTAGTCCCTTTACCACTGGGATGACTTTGGGGGTCTATTTCTTCTTCTTTGGGTCTATTTCTTACACATATGTACATGGCTTATGTAAGGCAACCTATAGTTTTATGGGGATGAACTGAGGAACAATCCAGTAATCATATGAGCTAGAGAGTATTATGTGAAATGAAGCCCCATCTTCTCCCATGAAACAGAAGGTACCAAACCAAAATCAAACACAACCATCGAGTCAATTCCAACTCATAGTGACCCTATAGGATATGGTAGAACTGCTCCTGTGGGTGTCTGAGACTATAACTTTCTATGGGAGTAGAAAGCCTCATCTTTGTCTCATGGAGTGGCTGGTGGTTTTGAACTGCTGACTTTTCAGTTAACAGCCCATTGAGCAACCCACTACACTACTGTCACCCAGAATCCTTAAGTAGAAGGCAATGATGGGCCAAACACCATGAGCAAAAAAGAGCTCCAGAGGAGGTGCCAAAGCCTTACTCGCTGTCATACTTGATATACTGGCAGAGAGAGCAACAAGAGAGATGACAAGGACCAGTAGGGCTTTAGCAATTCATTTCCCTCAGATTTCATTATTCTTTAGTATGTCATGTCTTGGGCTGAGTATATTCAAGTTGAATCCCACGAGGAGGCCAAAGTACTGGGAAAAACCACACTTCATTGCAACAAAATCTCTGTGTATCTATTACCTGGCATTAATTTAGGGGCTTAAGACCTCTCTAAACGCTCCCAGAAATATCACATTATTCCAACAACATTTACCATAACAAAGCTAAGTACAACAACAAAGAAACACAGCAGATATTTCTCATTAACTGTTATCATGAGAAATATATCATTGTTTGTTTAACTTTTCATAATGGTGGTAATATATTCATTGTTGCCCATGATGAACTCTAAATTGCATCATGTTGTTGAGAATTTTTCTAAATTCCTGTTTCTTTTAAATGTATTCATCCTTTACTTGAGAATAAAACAAAACAACAGGAAACAAAACTCACTGTCATCAAGTCGATTCTGATTCATTGTGACCCTATAGGGAAGGGTAGAACTATCCCCTGTGGGTATCTGAGACCAGCTCTTTACAGGAGTAGAAAGCCTCGTATTTTCCTGCAGAATGACTAGTCACTGGTGGTTCTGAACTGCTGACCTTGTGGTTAGCAGCCCACCACATAGTCCATTACACCACCTAGGCTCCTGAGAGTGGGTTGGTTAATAGCATTTTCATGTACACACATGACTGCCTAACTCTCTTAATTTTAAAAAGAGAGCTCTTCTTTTGCTTTGTTTGAGTTTTAGGCTTCTTAGTGAATGAAGACCAAATTATTATCTTTTCAGTAATCATGCTAATGGAACTACCCAGTAATACAGGCCTTGTTGCTGGTGACCACTGGATAAGATAAGCCATCTCTGGAGAAGAAACCACAATACAAGATAAAATGGAAAAACAACTCTGCTGTCCAGTATCTATGTTCTAGATACTACTACCATAGTACTAGGGTAATAGGCCGGTGCTAATGGGCTTACATTATCCTGTGTAGTTTGATAGTTGACCCTTCTAAGTTCTCTGTCTCACTACAAGAGAAATGAACTTAGAACATGGACCTCTGGGGTCAACTATCAAACTGCACAGGAGAATGTAAACCCATTAGCACTGGCCTCATACACTAGTACTAGTAGTATCTAGAACATATTTATATATGATAATGGGGAAATAGATCTATGTGCATATATTTATAGGGTTAGTATTAAGGTAGAAGATGGACATTGGGCCTCCACTCAAGCCTTCCTCAATGCAAGAACACTTTGTTCTATTAAACTGGCATTCCACGATGCTCATCTTCCTGACACGATCGATGAAGACAAAGCGGGTGCATAAGCAAATGTGGTGAAGAAAGCTGATGGTGCCCAGTTATCAAAAGATATAGTGTCTGGTATCTTAAAGGCTTGAAGGTAAACAAGTGGCCATCTAGCTGAGAAGCAACAAAGCTCACATAACAGAGGCACATCAGCCAGTGTGATCACGATGTGTCGATGGGATCAGGTATCAGGCATCAAAGGATAAAAAATCATATCACTGTGAATGAGGGGGAGTGTGGAGTAGGGACCCAACTGGACATTCCCTTACGGAAGGGTCACAGGGAGGAGACCAGCCAGTCAGGGTGCAGTGTAGCAACGATGAAACATACAACTTTCCTCTAGTTCTTTAATGCTTCCTCCCCCCACTATCATGATCCCAATTCTACCTTACAAATCCAGCTAGAGCAGAGGATGTACACTGGTACAGATAGGAACTGGAAACACAGGGAATCCAGGACAGATGAACCCCTCAGGACCAGTGCTTAGAGTGGCCATACTGGGAAGGTGGGGTAGAAAGGGGGAACCAATTACAAGGATCTAGGTAGAACCCCCTCCCTGGGGGATGGACAACAGAAAAGTAGGTGAAAGGAGACGTTGGACTGTGTAAGACATGACAAAATAATATTTTATAAATTATCAAAGGTTCTTGATGGAGGGGAGGCAGGAAGGGAGGAGGAAAAATGAGGAGCTGATACCAAGGACTCAAGTAAAAAGCAAATGTTTTGAGAATGAGGGAAACAAATGTACAAATGTGCGTGACACAATGGATGTATGTATGGATTGTGATGAGTTGTACAAGCCCCCAATAAAATGATTTTTAAAAAAGACTGACCCCATTAGTTGCATTATTCTGATGTTGATGTGTCCGTGGTTGAAATTTAGTCACACAGCAGAATTTGCCACCTGAAACAAGGCACTCTGAATTTTTGTTTTTTTTCTTCTTGTTATTTTTTTTGGCACCCCCTAACTCCTTTTCTCTTCTTCCACTTTACTTTTCTGGTTTCAAAAAGAATGGCTGAATCAAAGGAGTACTGGTAACACAGTGGGTTAAGCACTGGGCTGCTAACCAAAAGGCTGTCAGTTCAAAGCTACTAGCCAGTCCATGGGACAAAGATGAGGCTAATATCTCCCAGTAAGATTTAGAGTCTCAGAAACCCCAAGAAATGACTCTACTCGGCCCTATAGGATTTTTATAAACCCTAATTGATTTGATGGCATTGAGTTACAAGATGGTCATCCTGTTAAGTCTCAGCAACATAAAATTTAGTGTGGCTATTGCAAAGGAACCGAACACTTGAAAGGAAAATACCTAAAAGAGTCAAGTTTTAAAAAGTGTTTCCAGTAGTCGAAACTGTGAAAACAGTCTCCACAACCCTGAAACCAGAAGAACTAGATGGTGCCCAGCTACCACTATCAGCGGCTCTGAAAAGAATCACATTAGAAGGTCCTGGGTAGAGTAGGGTAGGGGGGAAACAAGGAACAGAACGCAAAATAGAGCAAGTTTACTGGTTGGCTAGGATCTGGTGAGATCTCCAAGCCTATGACCATTATCCTTCAGGTCCAGAACTGAACTCACTTCCGAGTTAGAATAATCAACCATTTATGATCAAAAGGGCAACATTTATACCAGGACAAAGTACAAAGGGTTAGGAAAGGAAGACTGGAAACAGTAAACCTGAGAGGAAGTGCGATAAGTGATGCTACATTGACGGGATTGCAATGGATGAGTTGAATCAGAATGCATATGAATTACTGAAAGGACAACTACGACCTGCTTGGTAAACCTTCACCTGATTCACAATAAGAATACTTTTAAGTGTGTTTCATAGGGGAACAAAGCCACGGCCACTTTATAAGCTAAATGTAATGACAAGTGCCAGAGCCTCTTTCAAATGACAGCCAAAGTTGGTCCTGCAATAATAAAGCAAAAGTAAGAATCCCTTTTGTTTTTGATAAGTAGGTGTCACTAATATCAGAATAGGGGTGTAGGCGTCAAAGTTCTCAGCTACTATGTGAAAGGTTGGTGGTTTGAACCTACCTGTGGCTCTACAGAGAAAAATGTGGCCGTCTGCTTTCATAAAGATTAATAGAAAACCTCTTGCCGTCAAGCTGATGCTGACTCGTCGCACACTATAGAACAGAGTAGAGCTGTCCCATAGGGTGCCCAAGGCAGTAATCTTCATGGAGGGAGCCCTGGTGGTGTAGAGTTTATGCACTGGGCTGCTAACTGCTCCTCAGGAGAAAGAAGAGGCTTTCTACTCCCATGAAGAGTTAGTCTTGGAAACCCACAGGGACAGGACAGTTCGGTTTTATCCTATGGGGTAACTATGAGTCAGAATCGACTCTGTGGCAGTGAATTTGAGTGTAGTCTTTAAAAAAAGCATATAGCCACATCTTTTCCCTGCTGCCTGACTGGTATGTTCCAAGTTCTGACCTTCTGTAGCAGACAGCTGCTTTACCACTATGCCACTAGAGCTCTTTAGCTAAATGTGGCACCCTTGGAAATTCTCCAGGGCAGGTCTCCTCCAGCAAAGAGGGTTGCTATGTGCCAGTATCAACTGGAAGACAATGACTTTTAAACAGCTGAGGGTGACCTCCTTTTTTTGGTTGCTAATTACTCCCTCTGACCTGATCTGACTGTCTGATTTGACCAGGGATTTTTAGGTGGGAAGACCGGGCTACTTGGGATATGAAATGCAAACTATCACCTCCTGTTACTGCACTGTAGTCA